GAGCCCCAAAATGCCCCCATGTAGTTGTGGCCTGTTCCAAGATGGATGCACACAGGACTGCAACCTTTAGGGACTGGAGGACTTGTTCTTAAAGCAGAATTGTGAGATCTAAGAGTTTTATCCGGATGATCTATTGATAAGCAACTGAACTTGCTGAAATCTCAAACTTGCTTATCATTTGAATAGATTAAATTTAGAGATTAAAAAATAAGTGTAATTGAAAAAGATCAGCTGATATCAAACTGTTAGCAGTAAGATGCCAGAAAATTCTTATCCATTAATCCATATGATGTGATTTGGATGACTAATACTATTGGCTAGTGAACAGGTCTATACAAAAAAATGGATATGAACAGTGTTAGTTTAAATGTTTTTTAAAGAAAGTAGAAAGGCAAATGCAATCAAATGGAATTTTGATCTTGCTTGACTTCAAAAAATATATAAATTAAAAATTCTGATCAGTTTGTGACTTCTGACTAGCTACTGTTTTTATGGTAATCATTTTAAATTTACACAGTTCTACAGAATTAAAGGAAAATGCCAATTTTTAGACCTGCACATTACAAAATATTCCTTTTCAAGGTGCTTCTTGGCACTGGTCACTATATAGGCAATGAATCAGGCATGAACATGGAGAAACTTAGATGTACCATCATTTGGCAGGGGTGACTAATGCCATGCATTACCAGGGTCAGGTCCACCAATTCTCTCAAAAATAGACTCAAAAATATGTTGAAGGCATGAGTATCTTGGTTATTTAGGGAATCTCTGGAGATTAGGTATCCATGATAGTACAGTGGTACCTCGGGTTACATATGCCTCAGGTTACATACGCTTCAGGTTACAGACCCCGCTAACCCAGAAATAGTACCTCGGGTTAAGAACTTTGCTTCAGGATGAGACCAGAAATCGTGCTCTGGCGGCGCAGCAGCAGCAGGAGGCCCCATTAGCTAAAGTGGTGCTTCAGGTTAAGAACAGTTTCAGGTTAAGAACGGACCTCCAGAACAAATTAAGTACCGGTACTTAACCTGAGGTACCACTGTATGAAGAAGTGGAATATGGAAAAAGTTGTCTCTTCAAACTGGAGCAAACAATTAACCCAAAAGAGATGGAATTAAGGTCATTCGGGAATATTCTTGCTAACATGACTTAATTTCATTGTCTAGTCTTGCATTGTGGAACTAAAAACTAAACAGCTTCGTTTGCACATCACATTATGCCAAACACACTAGCAACAAAACAACAGCTCATGGTTAGTGAGGACAGAGCTTAAACCACAAGCCTGATTTTCAATGACTTGCGAAGCAGCTGCACAAAGGACTAGAGAGGTGCAAAGCACCCACAAGCTCCTCTCTGGGGAGTCTGCGCATATATGTGGTGCTGCTAAGCCATGGGTAATTAATTTTGGGAAATCTTACTTTGTTGGAACAAGGAACTGATTTGATGATGACCTTCTCGAAATGACGCAAGTTGCTGGGCTCAGAGCTCCTGTTGTTTGTTGTTATGATCTGATTGTTATTTTCATTTTGAACTACCATGGTTTGTCTTGGATTTGCAAACCATGGCAGGGACAATAAGAGTTAATAAGGGAGTGAAAAGGAGTGGGGGCAACTCTTCTCCTAGTTTAGAGAATGCTAAACTAGACTCTATATTAGACTGCTAGCTGCATTTATATGTGAAGGTGGAGAAGTGGGCAAATCAATGGTTTTCATCAAAAGATTTGCTGTGGATTTAAGAAGCAACCCTTTTCACCACCATGTTGTCAACAAACACAAACGAAAAGCAGATGAAACATTTCCAAGCCATGCCTGAAGTAGAAACAGACATCAACTGTGTAGTGTTCATTAGAATAGGATTATAAAGCAATTTACAATCACAGATACAAGGCAGCAAACAAAAACAAAACACACACACACAAAAGAACCTCTGCACTACAAATAAAAACTCTAGTGATTATACTGTAAGCTCTGTTAAAAGGAATCACATTAAGTTACCATAGGAACGACACTGTAAAAGGCTTGTAGAGGTAAGAAATGCATGAGACGTTAGCATTTAGTGACAGAGATGAAATGAAAACCCTTCTATTGGGAATGGGACACAGATGGATCTGTGTTAAGTGAATAAATACAATTAAATCATAAATAACTTCAAAGGAGCCAGTGGAGCAGAATCAAATACAGAGAGCAGTTAGCCAAGAGGACACAAAACCATAAAGAAGAAGGAAAGCAAACTAAAGAAAAGTTTCCAAACAAAGCAGGGGGGAATGGTTCTGCTAACTGAATATCTGATCCCTCTTACTAAAACTGACATTAGATAGATAGACGTTAGAGGGTAGATATATTCCTGTATTTAATTTCTAGGCGTTTAGACTATGAAGGACATGAATTTGCTTTCAGTTTACTTGCAAAAGCTGATCATAAGTATGCATCACAAGGCTTCATAAACAATGCAATGGTATTATGCTAATGTCATGTTTATCTTTTCCATGTATCGTGCCACACCAGATCTTCCTTTTTGAAATTACCAAAACCCACAAAAATTACAGGAATATTTAAGACAGATTTTTATCAGAGAGGGAGAGAGAGATGCTCAGAGCTGTATATCAATTGAACATGGGCAAATAAAGTTAAATAAAACAGAAAAAGAAATTCACAGAAGCAGCTGTGTTAAGTCTGCTGCAGAGAAATCAACGAAGTGTCGTGTGGTACACCTTAAAGACTAACAAATTTACTGCAGCATAAGCTTTCATGGACTAAAGCCCATTTCATCATATGCAATAAAAGAAAGATAATTAAAAATGGTCATATTTCAAACTGTACGCTTCTACTCTCAGATAGGACTACATTTTTAAAAGGTTGGTTAAGAGTTCTCAGCCAAAGGGAATGAAGGCCTCAGAGAGTAAGAATGAAGGAAAGAAAATAAGGGATGATAGTGGAAGAGACCTCCAAGAGGAAATATAAGAGCCCCAATTAATTTTCCTTTATGTCTCCAATGGTTTGGATTTATGTTCCGGTTTGTTAAACAAATCCCGAAGGTTAGAAGGGTAATGCATAGAAGTGAGTTCATATGCATATCCCTTCCAAATTTATGACTTAAATAGCAAAACCTGTGTTTGGAACTTATGCTAGGATTAAATAGGTGTAAATCTGGGTCCAATGAAATTTGTAATGATTATTAATGAAAATGTCATAGATATGGATGTCAAAAAATGGATGAATTACACATGTGAGTTAGTGTGCCCATTTGAAGAATGAGGAGAATAGCTGTGATTCACAGACAAGGATGAAATGCCAGGTTGCTCAGGGCAACTTCCTGGAACAGGTTTATTCACGTGGAAGAGGAGCGAATATCTACTGAACTCTAGAAATTTTAAAACATCACGAGCCCCTGTTCCGTAATATCAGTCATATAAATTTAATTCACAAAACCAAGTAAATCTATTAGAAACTACTTAAATTAAATAAACTAGTTGATTTAGCAATACAGCACAAAGGTCTTCTAAATGCAGGCAGACGATGCCGTATCCTCCATAATATGTTGCCATCAAATACAAATATCAGCTTATTGGGGTCTTTTCCAGGCTTCAGAATTAAATTTGAGCCACCCTTTCACATATCTGGAAAGCTTCACTTTCAGACTGTATATGAGTAAGTACTAAAGGTAAAAGGTAAAGGACCCCTGGATGGTTAAAACCAGTCAAAGGGGACTATGGGGTTGCAGTGCTCATCTCGCTTTCAGGCCAAGGGATCCGGTATTTGTCCACAGACAGCTTTCCGGGTCATGTGGCCAGCAGGACTAAACCGCTTCTGGAGCAACGGGACACCGTGACAAGTGCCAGAGCACACGGAGTCCACCCCTTGTGTTTCTGTCCATCATTGCTCTAGGTATGCCTCCTCAAAGCAGCTCAGAAAGGAGAAGGAAATCATTTAAAGGGCAAGTATTTGTGAATGAACCATTTGCTAATTATTCAATTTAAGTATCTGTTGCTGCACAGAACAAAGTATTGTCCTGCTGCCATACTACAGACTGCAGAATCTGGATTGCTAGCATTGATCCAGAAGCGCCTATTTCTCCACTCACTTCCAAGAAAAAAAGCTGTATCAATAACACCATATCAACAAAAATGTGTACCAATGCACAAAATCCATCAATGTGTACCACGAAGATTCAGAGACAGAAATACTCTGGCTCCCTTATTCGATACCTGCCATCAATATTGCAAGTTTCCGTGGAAAGTCTTTGTTCTGTGTCTTGGTGAGATTACCTGCTATTCACAAAGAACTCTGTAGTTACAACCTGGGGCATTCATCACACTTCAATCATATGTAACTTATGTAAAATATTTAACAAAAGGCTAGCTTTTTAACCTTCCATTATCCTCTTGCTGGTAGCTTAAGGGCCTCCTGAGCCAGCTAGACCACAGATCATACAGAGTTGTTACTGAGACCAGGCTGGCCGCCAACAGAAGTTGGGGATTCAGTCTCACCCGTCCCACACTTTGGGACATTCTTCCAGCAGAAAATCAACAGACACCCTTATTTTTTTATTTTCAGGTGTCTCTTGATAGGCCTGTGTTTACATTTTTTGATCAGCCAGTTATTGTGTTGATAATGATTTACTATTTTGATGCTATGTTATATTCTGTTGCATATACTACTGCACACTGCCAAGTTACATTGTATGAATTGTCAGCATATAAATACTTTTATAAATAAATAAAAACCAATGAGATTTATGGGATCTGCGAAAGCCACGATGCTCTTGCTTAGGAACAGCTGCTTCTGTCTCGTTGCATATAGTCTGCTTACTAGGCCAAACCACCACGGGATCAGAAACAGAATGCAAAGCCATGTAAATTGGCGTGGGGGACCTTTCTGGCTCCGCATGCCAGGTATGGACGTCAGGTAAGGTATCAGATCCTAGCCTCACAGGCCAAATTTGACAGCTGGGTGGGGCTGTCCACCGGTTAATCACCTGACAACACCATGACATGAAGTTAGGACTTCAAAGGAACACGAGGCACTTACAAAGAGCCTTTAAGCCACCTGAGACTTTGGTTTTAGAGCCAAAACCTGCAGGGGCACTGGTAGAGACAACGTACAACAGGTAATACACTTTAAGCCTTATGACTGTGCATTGGCAGCTGCATCTGTAGATGTCACGGACCTGATGTCATATAGGGCAGGTGGGCATGCTTTGAGGGGATAGGCTTTGCAGGCCTCTGACAGGCCTGGCCCATGGTCTAGATATTTCCCACCCCTAAAGTAAACATTTACTCTATCAGGTCAGAAATGAAATATTATTAAGCTTTTCACTTTAGATTATTTACTGGAAATAATCTACATACTTTTAAAATTTAAACTTTTTTTGACAAGATATTTGTGTTTGGGCTGCCTTGCACATTTCAAAATTCTTACACTATGCATAATTCTGTCGCATTCATCATCTTAAACATTTCCTATTACCAAAGCCACAAAAAAGCTAAAATGCAACAGTAGTGAAGTGTTTGTTTATTTATAGTACTTAGAAACTCCTCCCAAAACAGAGTAAATGTGCTTGCAATAAGAAAACACAAATAAAATTTTTTGGTTCATTTCCTGCAGCAAAAAAACTATGTGTTTACAGGGGCCAAAAAATCTTAGGTCACCCAGCAGCCTCCTATTAACTTATGATTCATAGACTCATAAAGGTAAAGGTAAAGGTACCCCTGCCCGTACGGGCCAGTCGTGACCGACTCTAGGGTTGCGCGCTCATCTCACTCAAGAGGCCGGGAGTCGGCGCCGTCCGAAGACACTTCCGGGTCACGTGGCCAGTGTGACGAAGCTGCAACTGGCGAGCCAGCACCAGTGCCGCACAAGGAAACGCCATTTACCTTCCCGCTATAAAGCGGTACCTATTTATCTACTTGCACTTAGGGGTGCTTTTGAACTGCTAGGTGGGCAGGAGCAGGGACCGAGCAACGGGAGCTCACCCCGCCGCGGGGATTCGAACCGCCGACCTTATGATCAGCAAGTCCTAGGCACTGAGGTTTTACCCCCAGCGCCACCCGCGTCCCCATAGACTCATACCAGTATAGAACTGTAGAATTGGAAGGGACTATGAGGGTCATCTAGCCCAGTGTTTCCCAACCACAGGCCATATGGCCCCCTGGGGGCCCTAGGATATTCCAAGGGCCCCGCAGGGGGAAATCACATAAGTGGGGGGTCACAGCACGAGGCTAGGGGGCCACAGAGAGGAATGAGAAGTGAAGGGGGGAAATCTTTTTTTTATATATTTAAAAAATCCTGATTGGCTGGCCATCTGCTTAGCCAATCGCAAGCAAATAAGAGAGTAGCCCACCAGGACCCAATGCTGCTTTTTGTCACATATGTTTTCTTCTGTAGTGATCCTGGTTTGTTTCCAGTGGGAGAGGGCGATCACTGAGACTCCAGTTTTGACCAGTGGAGCCTATGATCCAGAACCCCCAGGTCAGGTAAGTGTGATGGTGGAGTGGCAATGGGTAGGGCAAGCCAGAGCTGCTTGTTGCTGCCGCCAGAGTGCTGGGCCCGGTGACAGCCTGGGCCTGACTCTGCAAGGTGCAGGGTTCAATCTACCCCGTGCCTAGCCGATCAGGGCCTTCGGATGTTGCCAAGGGGCGCAGGGCCCGTCGGCAGCATTGGCCGGGCTCTGCAAGGCACAGGGTGAAATCCGCCTGAGCGTCTAGCTTGGTGGGGTTGTCTGGTGCTGCTGACTTGCATCTAGTAAATAACTAAGTAAATAGCTCAGAAGAAAGCCGCAATGAGTTCAGGGAGCCCTGCTCCCAGGTAAGGGTGTGTGGGGCTATAGCATTTTATCTAGGCAGCCAGGGCTTCTCCGGATGACAAGATATTTTTGCACCAGGCCATTTGCTTTTTAAACTTCTTCCATATATACAGAACTCCCTGTGAGCCTTCTGGCCTGTATCTGTAGGTTTCCCCCTATGTGTCAAATACTGTATTTTTCGCTCTATAAGACGCACCAGACCATGAGACGCACCTAGTTTTTGGAGGAGGAAAGCAAGAAAAAAAATATATTCTGAATCTCAGAAGCCAGAACAGCAAGAGGGATCGCTGTGCAGTGAAAGCAGCAACCCTTCTTGCTGTTCTGGCTTCTGGGGTAGCTGCGCAGCCTGCATTCGCTCCATAAGACGCACACACGTTTCCCCTTACTTTTTAGGAGGGAAAAAGTGAGTCTTATAGAGCAAAAAATAGGGTAACTGGCATCAAATAAGTGTTGTGTACTTTTTATAATACATGGAAGATGGATCTCCCTCGGGAAGTTCTGGACTCTCCTTCCTTGGAAGTTTCTAAGCAGAGGTTGGGTGGCCACCTGTCAGGGATGCTTGAGCTGAGTTTCCTACAATGCAGGAGGTTGCACTAGGAAGATGACCCTTGGGGTCCCTTCAAGCACTATGGTTCTGGTTTTCTGCTTCAACAATCTTTCATTATGGTCCTATAATTTTATGTAATTGTATTTTGTATAAATTATAAAAATTATTTAAAAACATGTGCTATTCAGAAACAAAACATTTAAATAGCTACCTTTATACCAGTGTTCCCCAACCTTGGGCCTCCAGCTGTTTTTGGACTACAACTCCCATCATCCCTCGCTAGCAAGACCAGTGGTCAAGGATGTTGGGAATTGTAGTCCAGAAACAGCTGGAGGCCCAAGGTTGGGGAACACTGCTTTATACCATAGGTAGGATGGGGGGCATGGGTGTATCCAGGATTATTGTTGGGGGGGCAGGCTTTTATTAGAGTGGCAGAACCTCAGATTTGTATTGGTTTTTTTCTTATTGGGGGGCAGCTCTCCCCCCCTCCCTTGGCTACATCCGGGGGCAGGGGCACAGGAAGGAAACAGGGTCAAAAGGCGTCCACAGTCAGAAAAAGGTTGGGAAACACTGATCTAGTCCAACCCACTCCAATGCAGAATTCTTTTGTCCAACAAGGGACTCTAACCCACGATCCTGAGATTGTCTCAGGCTAAAGACTGAGCTATGAAAAGTAGGATAATCATGTCACCTAAGGGCAATACATTCTATCAACCTCAGCTGTACTCCATTTGGAGCAGGGAGATGTGACCAATGTAACTGACGTGATCAATAGGCTTGATTTCTGTATACCCAAAATTAAGTACTGAGCAATCCTCCAGTGGGCAGGGGCACAGTTGGGATAACAGCCAAGGAAAAGCTGAAAGAGCAAAGCCTGAAATCAGATACATTATTATCTAGACCTAAGCACCACTTAACACAGTGGGACATAAATTTGGTTAAACATTGCAATGTAGACAATGTCTTCAGAAAAAGTTTGCCTTGATACACAAACTGCTATCCTGTTTTCAAGTTCCTTAAACTGTTCTTAATCCACCTCTGTGGAGGTTTTGGTTGGTTGGTTGCAAGTCACTTTCGGTTGCCTTAGGCAGGATAAAGCAACTAACAAATGTAATAAATAATAATATAATGCTATTCAGTGTGGCTTTGAATTCCAGTGCAACATAAGCAGAGGGCTAGCATGAAAAATCAGTTCTGCCTGCATTTCTTTAGACTCTGTTATTTTGTGCATCTGTATATTTTGAATGAATCTGGTAAAAATAATTTCAAAGTCCCTGTAAAAAAGGTTTTATTTTAAAGAGAAACAAAGAAGCACTTATTGTGCTCCATCACAGACAGTGGACAACACTTCCAGTTTTAAGAACAGTGCATTCAGGTCAACTAAGCACTTACCCAACAATTAATCATTTATTAAAAGAAGAGTTCCAAGAGGTAAGGAGATTATCTGACATTAGACACAAAACAGTTGCACTTTTGAAGATGTTCCCTCATTTCTCTCTCTTTTTCTTCCCCATCCTTTTGTTCTTTGTGTGTGTGCTCATTTAAAACCAAACACCACCACAATGTTTACAATTAATACAGACAAACCCAACAAATGCATAGAAAAATGATAGTACTTTCATAAGAAAGCCCCACCCCTCCAGCTCTCCTCAAACCCTTGCAAATTACTACAATAAAAAGCACTAAACCATTAGAAGACAAGGAATGAAGAGGTAAACATAAAGTGAGAGAATAGGAAGGAATAAACAGTGAAAAGAAAAATATCCCGTCTAATACTCCTAGAACCTTGATGTCTGTTGTGCCTGGAATTCTTTAACACATCTTTCAAAATCCATCATTATATTGTAACATTTCCATTGAGCCTTTGGCTCCAGTAGCCCTCATCATTCTCCTGAAATGACACCTAAGGACACCTATGCATTTGCGCATGTTCATCTCTTCTTATCCTTACTTCTCCTTGATGCATCCTGGTTCCTCCACCTTTTATTCTAGCCTATGTACACCTTCTGTCCTTTCCTGTTTTCTTAAATTAATCTGCATTTTTACCCGTTTATCCTGTCCTCTCTTCAATAAGCTCCTGACCATTCTACACTCACACAACAGCCTTGTAAGGTTGGTGAGGCTTAAAGAGAATAACAGACCAATGCTTCACAACTGCCGAGTGATTTAAACCTTGGTCTCTTTACACCAAACCTAGTCATCTATCTGAGGTGTACACAATTAAAACCATATTGATGGCCTCTTTCATTTTTACTACCTCAGGGGGGCCATAGTACTATGTTCACCTCAGGAAAATACATTTTTGTTCCAATTTTAAATCTGTGTTTTGTTTTTAATAAATTTTGGACAAACAACCTTTCCTCTTCTACAACTTATGTAATGCAGATTTTTTTCCTCTTCATTCTGAATCTGCACAGGTCTCTCCAATGCAGTGGCCAGATGAGGGAAGCTATAGAGTCCTTCAAGGAATAGAACTGGAGAGCAGACGCCACGGACCTTGATGAAAGAGCTGTTTTCTATTATTAAAAAGATCCAGTTGCTCAATGTAACTCCACCCAGTTTTGGCTAACTTCCTTCTTCCTCCATCCCACATAATTCATGAAAGTTCATGAAAGTCTCCTCGTATTCACATTTCTCAGGATCAAAGCCAAGAAAGGGAATTCTGGCAACAAGATGCCACCTGGATAGAAATGGCTAGTAAAAGGATGGGATGTAGCTGGTGCAGCCAAAATAGCACGGTTGTAACAAAAACAATATAGGAATTGATTTACTGGAAATAAGTTTTATTTCCATTTTGGTATTGTATCATATAAGATCGCATAATGACAGCAGCATATGCATTTTAATTATGAGTTACATATGACCCATGCAAAGGGACAACAAGCTGGCTTCATAGGCGGTTGAAGGGAAGGAGGAGGTCTCTGCAACTTTCTGGGGGCTGGGGTACAGAGTTCCTGCTCACATGAACATGCAACCTATTACATACCCATTAGCTAATAAAAGTTTTCGTTCGTCAGGAAACTATTGCAGGGCAATACAAAACGATAGTGTATTTTAAAATAATGCTTGGACGTTCTATGGAATTAAGGGATGCGATTACCACACCACAGAGTACAAATTTCCTACCTGTTGGTGGGATGATTCCTGGAGACATAAGACCAGGGACAGAATGTGGCATGATATGTGAATTCTCTGGAGAGGTGACACTTTGAGTCCGCTTAGGAGGCCGACCAGGTCTGGAACTGAAAGGGGGGAAACCAAACAAAAAAAAACAACTTTACAATTAAGCTGTTGTCTTACACATCATTTCAAAGTTGTTTCAATTGGTAACATGGACTGTAAATAAATTTGTTTCAAGGACGGTTGCTTTTGCAGTTAGATGTAATAGACTTCCATCACTAATTAGATTACATGCTGAATTCATTTTCCTCATTGAAGATCAGCCGCGCTTGATGCATAATTCATAGCCTGCACCTCGTTACCTGCTTCTTCATATTAATATCTATACACAGTTTGAATTGCCTCGTTTGCATATGCTAAAGTTCTGCATGCAGCCTTCAGCATGAAAATTATGCACTAACTTGTAATAATTATTACAGTCAGCCTGCTATTGATTTATGAGACTTTTAAAAACCAAATATGTGTAGTACTTGTAATGAATGATATTTTAAGGTTCTTCAGGAAATTAAAAGGCAATGGCTGCCTAAGGAAATGTTCTGCTTGTTTGATTTAATACTACAGTTAGCTGGGAGGTGGAATGAAAGAGTGATTCAGACCTATAGCACATTTTTCGATGATATGTTTTATTACTTCGCACTACTACCCTGATATCTAGATGATAAATGACAATACATATCTAATATGTGAAAAGGTCTTGCAATTTCTTTATTTTTTGTCACGTAAAAGATAAGTCAAGTTATCATTTAACCCTTATTCTATTTAAAAGCAAAAAAATCTTGCTTTAAATAAGGCACATTATTCAGAAAAGGCTTTGAATGTTTGTAAGGCATCCTTGAAAAATTGCAGTCCTGGTACCTTACATCTGTTCTGTGTGAATACATAGAAGGGATTGTACACATTCCCTAATCTGAAAGCTTTTAGATTTTGATTTACTAGAATACGGTAATAAATACACAGATCCCACTATTTTGGGACCCCGTTCAGAAGAAATGTTCACCACAGAAAAACGAAGGTGAGGTCACTTTCTGCTGACTGTACAATAGACCCTTCACTCAATAATACCAGATTGGAACTGCCAATCTCATGGAAACCTAAAAGCAAGCAGCTATGTGAGAGGCTCCTCCCTGAAGACGACGGCGCTCAACTGTGGACAACCCACAAGGAAGGACTAGGGGTGTTCCCTATGCCACAGGCAGGGTGAGCAGCCTGCTCCTGTCATTGAACGGGATTTCACACAGTTGACAGGCAACACGGAGAAACATCAAAAGTGGATGTGAAAACCATACTTGAGCGTTGAAGTACAATGGATCTGTATGCATAGCAGGGTTGTTCTTTCTACGTGAATTTACGGAGCAGTATTCCCAAGTATGTTCAAAAAATACCTTCTGAGGCACTTTTGAAGAGTAGGGTAGTATGGTCAGTTGTTTGAGCAAGTGGGGGTTCTTCAGATTCAAGTCCCTGTTATGGGACAAGGAAATTTTACGTGCAAGATGCTTTTTTGCTGCCTACAAGCTCTTTTGATAAAAAAGGGAATCCCAACAGTTAAACAACAACAGCTGCTGTTATGTAAAAAAAATCCATTGAACTCAAAATTCTGCTGTTGAATTTATTTAAATTATTGAATTTTAAAATGTTACATCACGAATTAAACTTATTTTTATTATACCATACATTTATCTTACATCACTTCAGTATTTATTATTTATTATACAGTCAAATTTACTTTAATATTGCCAGTGTTTTCAACTGCACACCATTTTTTATTATTATACTGCACTCAACAAAAAAATTCCACTGCTGCTTAAATACCTGTTCTGGTTCTCTTATTCTACTTGTTACACCCGCTAACTCTGCATATTCTAACATCTTAAGTTGCCAATCCTCCTTGCTAGGGACTTTAAATTTTTGGGCCAGCAAGAACTGAGCCACTGTTGTTGCTTATATTTTTCTGACTCCTGGGAATCTCTTGTCTGGGTAATTCCTAACAAAAATGCCTCTGGTTGTTGGTTTTTGTTTGTTTGTTTGTTTGTTGGAAATGTTGTTTTAAACACTTTTTTCATCTCATTATATATCATTTCCCAATATTCTTTTACAATTTTGCATGCCCACCACACATGAAAAAAGTTTCCTTCTACTTCTTTACATTTCCAACACAAATCCGATTCCGCATTATACATTTGAGCCAATCTACTCGGAGCTGAATACCATCTATGGATCATTTTCATAAAGCTCCACTGTTGAATTTAATATGACACCCTACACCTTACGTTTCTAGGCCTTGTTTTTGCAAAGAAAAATTACACACACACCCCACAGGTAATAGTGGTTTGTTAATCTGCTCCAAATATCAATTATGTTTATATGATGGGCATCATTTTCACTGTGGCACTTTTCTGCATGGAAGAAGTAAAGGTTAGAGTGCTGGACTTGGATGTGGGAAGCTAAATTTCAAATCCCCATTCAGCTATTCAGTGTTACCACCTCACAGGTAAGATAGAAATAACCTCACATCCTCCATCCTGTAATTCTGGCAGAGTAAGAATGTGATAAATAAATACATACCATGCAGGCACACATAAACACATACAGGACACACTAAATTCTAATTTGTTGACAGTGGATGAAATATTACCTCATCCATCTAGTTTCTAGTTCTACTTCTTACGAGACTTTTTTTAGGGTTGACTTCAAAGCAGCAAATAATTAGAATGTACACATTGCAGAGTATTCCAAAAGATGATAATACCAGAAACGTCTTATTTATGTCCATTTCTAGATGTAAGACATATGTAACACAATGCCTGCCTTCACTGTGAGCATTAGATCATCTTTGTGTTTTCAGAAACCCACTTTTAAAAAAACTACAATCCATCCCTAATAAACGAATAACGATCAAAGTACAGGGCATTTCCTTGGAGTTTAATGACTCAAGACCTTGGGCCATTAACCTTAACTGGTCATTAATTCCCAAGTTAATGACCTGAATTGAGGTCATTATTAATATAAAGCCACAAGATTTTTGTTTGGTTGGACGTGGGGTGGGGGGTTCTTCTCTCACACACACAAAAACCACCCTTATTTTCTAAACTTTCTGGGGCGGGGAGCACATGAGAATCGAATTGTTTTTTTGCTGTACTTCAAGCACTGTGCTAAATATACTCACTGTTCTTGGGCATGTTCTGTATCACCACAATGAAAATAAATGTACTGGGTTGGATCCGCATACACAATGCACTTTCTTATCCAAGAACAGCTCCTTTACATCCTGTTTTAGAGCATTCCATGAGCAAAACTAAATTATATATGACTGATAAAAATCAATCACACAACAAGCTATTATAAATCAGGTAGTTCCCACTCCCAGCATCTTAAAAAGCAGAAACATCACCTTGCCAACAAAGGTCTGTATAGTTAAAGCTATGATTTTCCCAGTAGCGATGTATGGAAGTGAGAGCTGGACCATAAAGAAGGCTGATCACCGAAGAATTGATACTTTTGAATTATGGTGCTGGAATAGACTCTTGAGAGTCCCATGGACTGCAAGAAGATCAAACCGATCCATTCTTAAGGAAATCAGCCCTGAGTGCTCACTGGAAGGACAGAACCTGAAGCTGAGGCTCCAATACTTTGGCCACCTCATGAGAAGAGAAGACTCCCTGGGAAAGACCCTGATGTTGGGAAAGATGGAGGGCACAAGGAGAAGGGGACGACAGAGAACAAGATGGTTGGATAGTGTTCTCGAAGCTATCAGCATGAGTCTGACCAAACTGTGGGAGGCAGTGGAAGACAGGAGTGCCTGGCGTGCTCTGGTCCATGGGGTCACGAAGAGTCGGACACGACTAAACGACTAAGCAACAACAAGAAGAAGTTCCCACTCCAGGGTATGATTAGCACGACTGAAACTCCAGCAAAAGCAGCCAGGTTACAACTTGGCACTAAAAACCCCCACTTTTAAGGAGTTCCATAACCAGGACACTACAGGGGTAAAGATCCTCTCTTGTATCCTCATCTACCATACAGCTCTCAAAGGGGACCCCTCAAAACCAGATCTTAACTCTTGGGCAGGACAATATAGTAAAAAGAATACTCCCTCTTGGCCCTAAGCTGTTTGGGCTTTGCAAGTCATTACCAAGACTTTGAAATCAGACAAAAAACATATTGGCAGCCAGTCCAGTTCCTCTAGGACCGGTATTAAATGGTTCCTATTAGATGTACAGTGGTACCTCAGGTTAAGTACTTAATTCGTTCCGGAGGTCTGTTCTTAAACTGAAACTGTTCTTAACCTGAAGCACCACTTTAGCTAATGTGGCCTACTGCTGCTGCTGCGCCCCCGGCAAAGAATAATAATTGTTATTATTTATTTATTTATTTATACTCCGCCCATCTGGCTGGGTTTCCCCAGACACTCTGGGCAGCTTCCAGCAGAATATTAAAATACAATAATTCATCAAATATTAAAATCTTCCCTAAACAGGCCTGGCTTCAGATGTCTTCTCAAAGTCAAATAGTTGTTTATTTCCTTGACATCTGGTGGGAGGGCGTTCCACAGGGCGGGCGCCACTACCGAGAAAGCCCTCTGCCTGGTTCCCTGTGACCTCACTTCTCGCAGGGAGGGAACCGCCAGAAGGCCCTTGGTGCTGGATCTCAGTGTCTGGGCTGAACGATGGGGGTGGAGATGCTCCTTCAGGTATACTGGGCCGAGGGCGTTTAGGGCTTTAAGGGTCGTCAGCACCAACACTTTGAATTGTGCCTGGAAACGTACTAGGAGCCAAAGTAGGTCTTTCAGGGCCAGTGTTATGTTCTGTGCCTTCTTCAAGGGCAGCCCCACACAGAGTGCCCTGAGGTAATCCAAGCATGAAATACTGTGGCCAAGCTTTCCTTATCCAAGAACAGTCATAGCTTAGGAGCCAAAAAGGACTTCAAAATCAACAGGAGCCACTGATTGGCCTCCAGTAAGAAAGATAGATCTAGAGTACTCCCAGACTACACTCATTGAGAGGAAATGCAAACCTGTCTATGGTAGAGTGTCTATCAAATTTCCAGAGAGTGGAATCATCAAGAC